TGGACTAGAAGTCAAGAAACTGCCCTCTCTTCTATCCCTGCCTCTGTTTACTAACTGGCTGACTTTGGCAGAGCTTTTGATGAGCTCTGGTCATTCTCCTTGATGATGATGATGATGATGATGATGATGATGATGATGATGATGAGGGCAGTGATGGTGAGATGATGACGATGAGAAGACTTAGCTTATGGAGTATTTATAGTGTCCCAGACACCATGCTTGGGGCTAGTCACATATTAATTTCCATCCATAGCAGGCACTATTCTTATCCTCATATAGATGAGTAGAAGAGGGCATAGAGGACTTAAATAACCTCCCCAAAGTCTCTGAGAGCAGAGCTGGGATTTGAATCCAGGAGGTCTAGACGTCAGAGCCCTGGTGCTTAAGCACTACCCTATATTCTCATTCAGAAAGATGAAAAAGGAGAGGGTTAGACTAGCTCATCTCCAAGGCATCTTCCAGTTCTACCATGTTTTGATTCTAGAAATACAAAGACTTCTTAAGCACTACTTGCAAGGCCGTTTTACTGAGGGATAACTCCCCACAGCATTCCTCCCTTCCCCAAACACACTAACACACTAAAATGCCAACCCAGCAGAGCAAGGACCTAGACCGACTTCCTCAGCACTGCAGTCTGGGAGTGAGGAACAGGGTCTGACACACAGTAGGTGCTCAACAAATAGTGGCTGAATGGATGACTCTGGAGTTGGATATAAAGCAGGCAGTCAGTGGGAGAGAGTTAATGGAATTTCATGGTTACACATTGTTTTAAAAGTTAATTGAAGGCAGACACTTCTTTTTCCAACTTGGAAAAATAACTAAATAACTGACAGTAAATAGCAGAAGAATTTGGCAAGCCTTTTCCTTGATAGATGTTATTTAGGCTAACCATTTCTCCGTTCTATTTTCTGCCAAGTACAGGACATCAAAATCAGTGATTGTCACAACCGCCAAAACAATAACAATTACACTACAGCTATGGTGACAAAAAGAGCTTATTGTAATTATACCAAATCTGTTCTGACTCACTCATGCCCATTTCACATTTGCATCAGAATATCTCAGGGCAAGGTCTGCTTTATTGGGTGGAGAGAATATAATTTTGTTTCTGACTGGTGCAGGAAACACATTGCCGAAAACCGACTCGGAGATGCTAAACTTTTCATTAAGAAAAGGTTTTAATACTGCACCCTGTATGAGGCAACCCCATGCCAAATCGCTCTTCCTGGAACTACTTACTCAGAGGACAGATGAAGTTGGGAAGAAGATATTACACTGAACAGCATCTCCAGCAACTGGTTTCTGAGCCAGATTGTCTTTCCAGATGTTTGGCTTCCAGCTACAAAATAAGGAAATTCAGATTTGAGAGAAAACGGATGTAAAGAGACATACTATTTGCTGCAGTAAGCAATCGTATTCACCAAATGCTTCGTTCACCCAGGAATTGGGGCATGGATGGGACTCAAAATTTTGGCATTCAGTTCTAGACTTCCATGCAATGCTTAAAAAGAATTTCAGGACATGTTCCTAAAGTTCTCTTTAACTGGAGATGATTTTGTTGCTTCCTATCCACTTCCCCCAAAAATCCTAAAAATAACAAGGTCAAGTTTATCTTCCAGCAGAAGAATTTTTTTTCACTATCATAGGCTGCAACACTTCTTGACCACCTACTACATGCTGGGCATTATGGGAGGCATTGGGAGCAGAGTGGTGAAGATTTTAGTACTCGATCTCAATTCCTGCTCTCAATGTGTTTCCAGACTAAACCTTCAGCATATCAATGTTGCACTAAAAATAGAGCTTGCGTTGTAGAGTTCAGAATGCAGTCCATATTAGAAGAAGGGCTGACTGAATAAGCTTACTTTTGGCCCATTATCCATTCATTCATTCCCTTGGTTAACCACTTATCTTACAACCAATTCAGGGCACGTGAATGCAGAAATATGACTGATGTGGCAGTTTGGAGAACCGGAATCAGATTTCTCTTTATTTGGATTCTGGCCCCAAAGGTCTTCTATCTCTGAGCCTCCGTTTCCTCATCTGCAAAATGGGAATAGTAATACCTACTCTTCAGGTTTGACCTAAAGATAAGAGATCATTTTCCTAGACTAAGTAAGAGTGTCCAATAGAATCTTTTTCAATGATAAGAATGTTTTCTATCTCTCCTGTCCAATACAGTAACCACTAGGCTCGTGTGGTTATCGAGCACTTGGAATGGAGCTCGTGTGACTGAGGAATTGAATTTTTAATTGCATTTAATTTCTACCAGTTAAAATTTAAATGTAAATGGCCACATGTAGCTAGAGGCTCCCATCTTGGACAGCACAGATCTGTAGGGCCCAGGACCAAGTTCCCTTCACACCTGCCCTGGCAGAGGGAACATGACATAGCTTCTGTTCTGCACCTGGTTGGGAGGAGAGAGACCCAAAAAAACAAATCACTAACCTGTGCATTAGAGTAAGCGCAAGGACTTTAGAAGCCCAGAGGAGGTGACTTAACCTGGCTTGGTATGACCGGGAATGGTTAACTCAGTGGGCAAAGCAGGGGGTGGGGTGGGACAGGGGAGGCATTTCTGCCAAGGGAACAACACATACAAAGCATGGCTGGAGGGCACCATCACATATTAGGATGTGCAGGTGCTCAGAGTGCTGAAGTTGGGGCTCATCAGAGGAGCAGAGGTAGGAAGGACTCAACCAAGAAGGTAAGCAGGAACTGGGTCATGAAGGATCCCACCTGTTGGCCTATAGGGAACTGAGTTTTATCCTGGAGGTCTTAGAAGCCATTCCAGGTTGTGATGGAAGAATAAACAATTTGATATGACTGTAACCCTACTCATAACACTATGACCTCACAAGCCACTACTTGGGAACAATTGCTCAGTTGTGAGTACCTTCCCTTTTCTTTGCCTCAGCCCTTCCCTCTACAAAATGGGCCCATGACAGGTGGCTCTCAGGGGTTCCCTGAGGGCCATCCTGCTGCTTTTAGACTGGTGTCTGAGAAAGGTCTCCTCACCAGACACTGAGGAGTCCAGGCCTCCATCCACGCAGATCTGCCTCTCATTCACCGAAGAAGGCTTGAGGGTGTAGACAACAAACAGCCCAATTCTTAATGCAGAGAGAGAGGGATATGTTCAGTGGTGGGCTCCACCCACGTCTGCTCAACACATATGAAGGTTTTCTACACAGATCCACCCAAATCGGCTTCAAGGGAGGGTTTGAGACAGATCACATTATTCTGTGATCAATGCAGTGTTTCCAGAGACTTCTAAAATCTATCATCAGAGCAGTTAACTCTGGCTCTGCCAGATAAACATAACAGAGAGTGCTGAGGATGGAAAAGGCTACGTACCATGTCAACTGGGACTGTCCTTTGGGAAGTCTGCAAAAAGCAGACACGTTGGGTCAATGGCTGATGAGGAGGACTGTGCTCACAGGAACTTGAATTCTTGGCATAGTAAGTATGTCTGGGCACCAGGGAGCTGTGAGCACATAGCCCTGAGGGGAGTCTTGCAGAACCACCCCTTTTCTCAACTCTCAGCCCTGAACAGAACCTCTGGAAGGTTCCAAGGGAATGGAACCTGCCACTGCACTGAAGGGTAATGTTGCTGGGTCGAGTGTGGTCAGGAGAGAACTGAGGCCTATATACCCTTGTGAAATAGTCCCAAGGCTCTGCCCTTCCCCCTGGGAAGCGTGGCACAGTACCTGAGCAAGTCCTGGATGCTGAAGTGGCCCCTCAGCTGACAGCCTAGGATGGCAATGATGGTGGGGATCTTGGAGAAGGTGAGGCCCGGCTCATTGAAGAGGAAGACGAGCTTGGGTATAAGCTGTGCCTGGTGAGCAACTTCAGCATTCCGGGGTCCTTCCCTGGTGAGCCCAGGAGAAAGGCAGTAAAAGCTTTTACTGGAATGAACCAAATTTGCTGTGTTTCTGCTAAAAAGGTTTCCCAGGCTGGGCTTGCTCCATGGCCCTCTGACTCCAATGCTCTCTTGGCAACTCATCAAAATGCTGTCAGACACCCATTGAATATGTGTCTGCCAAGAGTTGCTCAGGGATGAGCCTCCCATGCCCTTC